TGACCCAGCGCCATTTCTATGAGCAGGACAAATCACAGAGCAGTGAATCTGCTGTATGAACATCGTGTTTGAAATCGTTTTCTGCAATTTGGCTATTAACCAAAAGGCTAATTGATTCTTTTCTTCTGCCCCATTGTAGTTAACATACTAATTCTTCCCAGTAAAGATCCATTTCATTATGCAAATGTAAAAAAAAATCACAAGACTGGTGTCTGAGTGAGGGTTGCTTTCTGCAGAGAACCGGTGCACCTGTTCCAGCCCTCAGCCCCCACCTCTACCTCCAAGAGCTGCCAAGCTAGGGGCTTAGTGATCTGGTTTAGCTGGTATGGGGCCCTTGAATTTTGACTCACATTTTCTTTGCGACTTACTCTTGTTTTGCCTCATAATTTCTCTCCTTCCAGCTCTCAGCATGCCAACAGCAGCTGCACCATGGCACTCACCCTGCTGCCAAGAGGGCAGGCAGCCTCCTTGGAGACTGGAACATGGTACTAAGCCAACTGTTAAGAGATGGAGGCTGGAGCCATCCATCCAGCACAGCTGAAATTTAGATCGGTTTAAGAGGCATTTGGTAGATTACTGCTACTGGTATTTTTTTTAACTAAATAAAACGTTCAGAACTTAGATTTAGGAAAAATTTCAGGCTTGTGCAAAGACAGAAGAACTACTGTGGAGCAGCATTCCCACATGCTTTGCTATCTGCCTCAGCCGTCATCAGCTCGGAGTCTTCCACTGTCCCCGTTTTTCCCATGGTTTATCCAGACTGCTGGTAGACTTGTTCCCATGGGGTGCATTTATCTTAAATTCAGGTTGCTTTTCCATCTCTTTTTAGTCTGTCTGCAGGATGTTTTCCCTGTCCTTTCTTCCTAACAGTAAAAGACGTTAGAATCTTTTTTTCCTCCTAGGGTAAGCCAAGGTATGCTATTTAGTGATTATTGTCTTTGCTTTTCTGATATTATCTCATAAACTGTCGCTTCAAGTTGATCTGGTGTCTTTGCGGAGCACGTCTGAAATGTATAGGTTCATAGAACAGATTATTGAGAGACCATTGGCTTGATTCTCCAGTTCACTAGTGACATTCTGTGTGTATTGAGACATCTTCCTTAAACATCCTGTCTCATTGTCATCTTACCTTTCACATAGCACGTACCCTGTAGGGCCACGACAAGACATCAGTGAGTGAACGCCTTCAGAGCAGCTTGGGTAGAGCCTGGCATCGGGCACATGTTCAGTACATGATGGTTGCTCTCTTTGTCATCACCACCATTTTCAATCATTTCACCTCTTATCACTCATTGTACAGACTGGAGGACTGGGGCCCAAATGGCTGCTTTGTCAGGACAACCGGAACAAGATGTCACATATGCCAAGTTCTTTATAGTATCAGATGTGGTTTGGTATATTCTTTCCTTCTAGGAAACTGTTTGCCAGATAAGAACGATTTTTAAAGGAAATGAAAGAGGCTTGGTAAAAGCACAAATGGGAATACTTATGCTAAAGAGTTAAGCCTTCAAAGTTCTGTGTTTAGAAAGGAGAATGTTAACACATAGTACTCCACCTCCTTAGTGGAGAGGGGAGATTTCAAGAGTACCCTTGGGAAGGACAATTTAATTAATGAAACAATAGTTTTCTATGCACGAGCAAAAAAGTGGTTTGTCAGGTGTAGTTACAAAGGCCTTTAATCGCAGCACTTGGGAGGCAGAGGCAAGAGCATCTCTGTAAGTTTGAGGACAACTTAGTCTACTTAGTGAATTCTAGAACAGCCAGAGCTATGTAATAAGAAATAGAGAGGAGGGAAGGAGGAAGGGAGAGAGGAAGATTGGTTAGAGTATAAAATGAGCTAATCTGATAAGGATTTGCTACTGAGATTGAGAAACAAGGGAAAGGCCTGTTCTTGGCCCGACAACCCAGCTAAAGAAAGGAGAAGTTAGATAGTCCAAGACCATTTGCTTATTGTTCTGGGCTTTCTACTCCAATAGCCTGATCTAGAACTTGTGCTCATGACTATTCTACTATCTTGATTTTGGGTACCTAAACCCTGGCACATATGTAATCTTGAGGGTTTTATGATGTACACAAATGCTGCTTCCTTTTCGGTTTTTTCCACACAAGCCAGAACATATTGAAGCCCTTTACATGTCTAGAATGACTGTCATTCTTCACAACTTTCCATGCATTTGACTGGCCCCAGTATACTTAGCATTGAGAATACCAGCTAGAGTTGAGTTAGTACCTGTGCCCCACATGCCTGTATCTGTGTAATAAGCTTTCTCATAACAGGGGATAGTATATTTATTGGTTTCCATTGCAGATATAAGAAAGGTCTTTGGTGTTGTATACCATTTTGTAAAATTGTTATATGGATCAAATAATCTTACGTTTATGGGATTATGTTGATGGGTAAGTGGAATAGTACTGTTCTGAAACTATTATACAATGTTATTATATAGAAATATTCTCATGAAATTATAAGACCACTATTAATAGGCATGACTTAGAAGATTTGTTGATTCCACATACTCCCTAGACTAGTGTTTCTTAAGGTCCTTGATCTAAACTGTTGTGGACACCTGAGGAAGAAAACACTTCCTTTTCTACTGACCTTCCATGAATTTTTTTCTTAAAAGCCTTTTTATTCTCATTATAACTATTTCTCCAATCTTATAATAAAAGCAAACATGAAAAGAAGATTCCCTGGGCACCATACACCTTTCCAAAGGCCAACTGTCTCTGCCCATGTACAGTATAGCACCTAGGAATAATGTCCTTCACCCCTACCTTGTCCGGCAGGTCTCACGACTGCAGACTGAGATCATATATCCTCCTACTAAAAGTTCTACTTGATGGTTTCCAGACATTTCAGGCTTCCACTGTCAACTTTCAGTGATGCTGCCCAAACCTCTTCACAGCACCCCTCTGTCCCAGTAACTGGTTGCCTCCATCCTTCCCATTGACAGGCCAAGAACTTTGGATTTATCCTTGACTACAATCTTGTTCCTAACCCACCTTATTTCACCAGCACAGCCTGTTGAATTTACACTCAAACTCAATCCAGAATTCAATTATTTCATCTCACCTTTGCTGTTACAACCTTAGTCAGCATGACAACCTGTCTGTTCCCAGCTATCTCCTCCATTCCTTTACTGGCTACCCTTCCCCCTACCCAATGTCCACTATCAAATAACAACTAAAAGACTCCTAAGATCTCACTTAGTATACATCTTCTGCACTAATACATTCCTAAAGTATTTTCATTCAATACATAACAGTATTGATACACCATGGACACAAAATATTGATGGAAAGAAGCCCAAAGCAAAAGCTTCCATCCTGAATAGTGACATTCATTGAAAATCCAAACACAGATCCAACCATTCAGTACTATTAGAAGTCATGATGGTGACTGAGGGGGGACTAGATTGTGACTAGAAAAGAGTCCTGTGTGTGCTGTATCTTGATCACAGTGCTACCTACGCATGCCCATTCAGTTTGTGAGAATTTGGCGATTTATTCACTGACAATGAATTTCCTGTGTGTAATGTATACTTAATAAAAGGTCTGATAGAAATGCTGTTCCTCTTATGTAAAATAGTTTTCCTTAAACAAGGAAGCTGTCAGCATCTGTCACGGTTAGAACCAAGGCTGAGTCTCTGCTTTCATTAGTGCAGTAAACATTCTTGGGTACTAGGTACAGATGAAGGCATTTGGGATATAGCTGTGGGCATGGGAGAGAAAACCTGATTCTGAGAGAGGATCATTAGAGTGAGACATATGACAAGACAGTAAAGGGCTAAGAGACAAAGGAGAGACAGGGAATGCAGAGTAGAGGTGAGAGGGTAGCGTTCGGTTTAAGTAAGAAGTGCGGAAAGACCTCTCTCAGAAGATGACAGATGGGCCAAGACAGGCTAGCTCAGTGCAGATCTGAGAGGAAAGCCTCCTGGACAGAGGAGCAGAAGCAGCGAGCTCAGTGGAAACAGCCTGGGAATGAATAACAAGAGCCAGGCTTTAGTAGAATTGGAGACGAGTTGGCCAGGGCAGGGTAGCTGGGGTTAACAGGTTAAGGCCTGTTTTAGAGGGGCCTGATAGATCTCTGTGAAGATGAGAATTATTCTGCATGATGTTGAAGGGTAAGAAAATGATTTTTGTTCTCTGAGATTATTCGCATTACATTTCAGCTGCTTGTAATACAAGCCATTCATTTTCATTGCTATGTACAGACTCTTATTTCCTGTGCATTCAAACTATTAATGAGTATTTATAGTTCTGGGGTTTGGATGTATGATGGATGCTGCTCTGAACATCCTAATTAGTGCATGCCTTTTGATAAAATAGTGTGTACAAGATAGGCCAATTGAAAAGAAATCGAGGAAGGTACTCAATACTTATTTGAAAGTTTGTGCAATAACATGTTGGTTCCAGCCCATACTCGTGGTACACACTAAAGGTAAACCTCAAGTATGTGTCACGACAGAGAAGTACATTGTGTCAAGCAAGGGCTGTAGAGATCACTTGGTTTAAGGATGCCAGCTAGCATCTACTTAAAGGAAGAATGCAAATAGAGTAGCCACAGATGAGAGCACACACCAGAACACCTAATGAGATCTTGGGCAGTTTGCCTCATAGGTGTCCCGAAGTGGACAACTCTGATGCAGCATTTCACAGGAAAGCCGAGCACGGAGCAGAGCCTGAAGGCACCCTTAGGATTTGTGGGAGCAGAGACCGACTCTGGGGACACCTCAGGGTCAGGGAAATAACTAGAATGAATTTTTGTGTAAGGGAGCTGTGAGTGGCTACTCTAAGTAAGAGCAGGCTATAGGAATTTTAAGTCTTGCAGAGATTTGGATGGATTTATCTCTCAAATGAGTAAATGCTTGTGTTCAGATCTGGCAGTGTTTATATATTACACATCCCCCAGGCTTTTTGATGTACTGAGACTACATTTACCACTACCAAACCCCACAGTTCATACGTTATAAATGTTTTGAATATATATGTATTTTTAGAGCGGCAAAGAAGACACATCCAGTGTGACTGTAGCAGGCCCTGAGACAGGAAACGAGGCAGGCCAGACCCTGGACAACAGCTCCCTAACAGCTGAGCTCCTGAGTGACGTGCCCTTCACTTTGGCCCCGCATGTGCTGGCAGTGCAGGGCACCATCGGCGACCTTCCTGACCACTTACTCTCCTACGATGGCGGTGACAACCTGTCCCGATTCTGGTACGATTTCACTCTTGAAAATTCAGTACTCTGTGATTCATAGTCTTTGTGCCTGTGCATACCTTAACAGCTTTAAAAGAAAAAACGTTGGCCTATTTTATTGAACCTGTGTGATGTTCTTTGTCATTTCACCCTTGAAGGCCCTGAGGCAAGCCAGGATCATAAAGTAACATCATGTTCATGGTTTATTCTTCAGAATAAAGTGAATTGTATAAAAATTGATATCAACAATTTAATAAAGGGAAGTCACTTTGGGAAAAAATAAGAATCCAGACCACCTGTGTTTCCCCCTCGGGCAGATAGAAAAGTGAAGCTGTTGAGATTATAAGGGAGGCACAGAGTGTTTTTGCTGCCCCTGAAGACACAGCACAGAAAAAGAAACAAGCCTTTCCTCTGGTTACCAACACTCTGCAATCTGAGCCTATAGCAAGTGTGAAGGTGGTGTGGGGTTCACAGGAGGTTGTGATATTACTCCCTTAACAGCTCCCACAATGTTTGGGAATGGGGTCAAAAGAAAGCTTCCAGTTAACGTAATTTTTCAATGTCAGTTTAGACACACTGATAGGGAAATTTGAAACTTCTCATAAACATCATTGACTGCTTGCTGATTCAAGAATGCTGTAATGAGGACACCGTGGTTTGCTTAGACCCATGTGGCCCTCTCCAAGCTCCTGAAGGGTGTCTCTGTCCCTCCCTGTTCCCTTCACGTCCCCTCTGGGTATTCTTGGACCAGTTCTCAAAGAGCTTTCCCTGCTTTTGCCTCGTTGGTTTTTCTTCCTTACCACATATGATCCCAGTTTATGAGGTCTGCATTCCCTTGTGTCTCTGCCTCCTAATGGAAACATCTCATGACGATACATAGCATTGCTGATAAGAATTGTTTATGGACTTGTTGGCCGCAGTACGGATGGCGGCGTTTAACTGGTAAACACACTCAATTTCACTACTTTCCCCTTAGAGTGTAGGCAGATGCCCAAATATGACTTGTCCTTCTTGAATATCTGTTATTTATTCTAAATAAAACTAGGCAGGACTGACATTGGTTAATGAACTACACGAGATTTGGTAAATAGTAACAGACTTTTTAATCCCATGAAAAAGTTGTCATTTATTTTAATTAGTTATAATTTATTAATCCTGTGCCAAAGTTTTAAGTATATTTTTTCACAAAGAAAGTATTGGGGAAACTAAACACTGTGCAGAAAAGTACAAGAATCATTTTAATTTCAATGTACTATGCATGTTCATTTAATAGGTGTGGTATGGCCCTGATAAAGAGTACTGTGTTGTTTAAAGTTAAAGGAATATTTGTACTGAGAAAATTGTACTTCATTTACAATTAACTTTACCATGTGAGGTTAATGATTAAATTAGGTCTTTACATAGTTATCATAAAGCATCTACATAGGAAATATGCCTTATTATTGACACAAATGTGAACATTTTGTAGCACTTTTTGTGAAAGTACATCCTTTTCAAGTAACCATGTTAATGTATTTTCAAAACTTAATGTAAAGAGATACTTCTTTTGTCTAAAACATGTGAAAATTTCTATAATTATACATTTCATTTGTATTTATGTCTACCATATTATAAATGTGCTTATAAGTACTGTTTAAAATTTTATTTAAAGAATGTGAAATACATGTTTAAAATAAATGTTTTGATTGTTTTCATATCCACAAAATGGCATCTATTGCATCATTAATATCTAAATGCAAGTTATAGATTCTGTAGAACACAAAGAATTAAGTATATTGTTTGTGTAGAGAATACTACATCTTCTCTTTTGTGTAAGCTTAGGAACATTGAAAATGATAAGCTCACTAGTCCTGATAATGAATTAGACTGAAAGGATTTGAGAGAAATGTATGAATATCTACATAGTTCTCCATCATCAGAAAATTTAGTAAAGACCAGTAGTGTTAATTACCTCATTTTGACAGATACATTGTAAGTTGATAATTTGTTATTCTGTATATAAATCATGCAATATTTTAACACTAAAACAAACATTGTAAATCCACCAGCCAACTCCATATTAGAACACTGAGGCCTAGAGATTTAGAGGACTTAAAATACCTAGTTAGTAATATTTAATTGAAAAGTAGTCAATGCCCAAATGTGAAGTAAACAACAATGACAGCAATGAGCATGCCATACTGGATAGAGAAAAGAAATGAACTTCTGACAACTAAGAAAGGCCAGGAACAGGAGAAAAGTGCACATCGAGTTGTTATCTAGTGCCAAACAGTCAGCCCTGAAAACACACATACAAGTAGTATTTTATGGAGTAAATAGATTATATTTAAGAGAGTGTGTGTGTGTGTGTATTTTTATGTGTGTGTGTGTGCGCGCACTCGAGTGTGTGTGTGTGTAGAATGAGAGAGAGAGACATATATATATGTGTGTGTGTGTGTGTGTATATATACACGTGCAATAATAGTTATTTTAAGGTCATGGATTTGAAAGAGAGTTGCAAGGTCTTGGAGGGAGGAAAGGAAAGGGAGAAATATTGTAATTAAATTATAATCACAAAAAATTAAAAATATGTAAATACATTAAAACAAAGCTAGAACATATGCAGGAAAGAGTTGAGGCACTGGAGGCAGCCAAGGAGTCGATCATGACTCTTGTTTAAGCTGAAGGATTTTGAATCTATTCCCTCACTTCTGGTGTCCTCTGTTCCCATGCTTGTTAAATATGAATTTTGCATACCTTGCAAAGTTATGTTGAATAGTAAGAGATAATTGGCAAATGCCCAGTAACCTAATGATTGATGTGTCTTTGACTGACAAAGGGACTGTTCTCATTATTTACACACACAGTAATCTTACATAATGGGAAATACATATTTTGTGAACTACTTATGACTGAAATTAAAATGATCTACCCATATTCATTTTAGACTCCACTCACCTCAATCATGTCCACTAAAGTTCATAACAAACACGTATTGTCAAAGAGCATGTCTTCCTCTTGTCCTGGAAATAACTGCAGCTATAGAACATGTGACTTCCACTGAATCTTGATTTTAAACCTTAATGTATGTAGGAAGTCACATGTGTTTTTCTAGCTTTATTTAATGCCATTTGCACTCTTTCCTTTAAAAGTGGAGAAGTAATTCCAACCAATTTGTTATTTAGTTAATTAAATTATTAGTTCAACTTTTCAAACTGTGCAGTTACAATGTTAACAAAATACAATTCTTATTAACCAGTTACAATGTTAACAAAATACAATTCTTACTAACAATTTTAGGAACTTTAAAGTAGGCTTTTTAAGTCAACATCTTTGATACCAACTTTTTTTTATCCACCCTCAAATAAAATAACTGAAAACATATTGGAAAAAAATCTGTGCTTTCCCAGAAACATCATTTCTTATAATTCTGGTGGAATGGTGACACATCAGGCTTGCTATCCCTCACCTGCCTCCTGAGAACAGCTGATCGGTGGGTGAATGCTTCTGTGGCTTGTCTGACAGACACAAAATGTTACTTTCAGAGATTAGCTTCCTACTTTCTCACTCATGTTCTGAATAGCAGCCACATGCAATGTACGCGTATTGGATACAAAGCTTGAGGATGTCGCATCTTTTCAAGCCACTGAGAACTGTGACTTCTTGGATGTTATCCTTTAAGCATTTGTGACACGTTACTGAGGGCATGACCTAACTCTTCCTGAGAAATCTAAGACTCCAAAAATAGATCTGACTACATTTGCCTTTAAAGATGGAATATTCTTAATGTTTCAAGAAAGTTAACTCGTGCCATATGGTTTGGCGAATAGATGTGTGTGAGCAGGAATAAAAGGAGATATATGGATTGGTACGTAGGAACTCTTTTACATCAGTATAGCAGAATGTTAATCTTTTAAATGTGAATAACCTTTTTCTTTAGAGCGATTTTACATCTGTAGAATAGTTACAAAGGTAAGTAGCGTTCCTCACATGTCCCCTCTTGTTGACATTTGTCACAAGCAAGGAACCACAGTATTTAACCCACACTACTGAGATTTTTGTAGTTGTCTTCGGGTGCCTCTCTCCTGCCATGCTTTCTAGTGTGATTTAACAGCTACTCATCCTCTACTGATGATTTTCAGCAGTTTCTCTGAGAATTTTTGTCCTAAACCGACAGTTTTGAGAAAGACTGGTCAGGTCTACTAGACTTTCTTGTCTCTCTGTGGTGGTTTTAATAAGATTGGCCCTCATAGGCTCATATACTTACATAAATGTTTAGGGATTGACAGTATTTGGGAGGATTAAGAGGTGTAGCCTTGCTGGAAAAAAGTGCGTCACTGGGGGTTACTTTGAGGTTTCAAAAGCCCAATCCAGGCCCAATGGCTCTCCCTTCCTGCTGCCTGCAGATCCAGGTATAGAACTCTCAGCTGCTTTTTCAGTACGATGTCTGTCTCTGCCTGCTGCCATGCTACCAGCCATGATGTTAATGGACTAAACCTCTGAAACTGTAAGCCAGCCCCAAATAAATGCTTTAAAAAAAAAATAAGAGTTGACAAGGTCGTGGCGCCTTTTCACAGCAATAGAACATTAAGATGGCTTATTCTGTTTCCATATAGCAGTGTCATGGCAAATGCCTCTCTTTAATGCTAGCACTCACAAGTCAGAAGCAGGACGATCTCTCAATTTCAGGCCAGCCAGGACTACATAGAGAGACACTGTCTCAAAATAACAAAGCAAAACAAAAATGATGAGTGTGACATCACCTTTCAGTGAGAGCATGTCATACCAAGAGAAGATGCTATAAACACAGCCCTCCAGTATTAACTTGGACCACCTGACCAACATAGTGTTTTCCAGTTTCTCTGTCATGCTCAGTTCCTCATTTTCTCCAGACTCTGAGTATACTCTGCTCTTCAGAACCAAATCACAAAGCACAGCCCTTACTCCAAGAACAGGAAAGTAAAAACCTGTCTTCTTCTGGGGAGGGGGGTAAATACATAATTATTTGGACTTCTACATTGGAGATTTATCTTTTCACACCAATTTGCTTTTCTTAACAAGTGCTTCTATTAGCTTGACTTCATGAATATTCTGTCTTCTTTCCAAGATTAAATTAGTGGTGGCTAAGGGACATATATACATTTTTTACAGGGGTTAATGAAATTTGAAATCGTTTACATGAGGACCATCTGATGTTGGGTGTCATGCTCTATTCTATAGTCCTTTAGGATTCATTTTCCTGTAAATATCCACTATATTTATCCTTAACTTGCCATGACTTTTAACTGTGTACACGGAGTCACATAAGGACATTTTAGTCAGTAACAGGCCGCACATATGGTGATGGTCTCATAGGATTATAATGGAGATGGAAGATTCCCACTGCATAGCATTCTTGCTGTGCATCTTCTATACTTACTTAGATATGTACAGATGATGCGATGACAGTTGTGTTGCACAATATTCAGTGGACTACATGCAGTTTGGGTTTGTGACTTAGTTGTGCAGCAGATTCTACCATCTAGTACAGTCCGTGATGGTCACATGATGATATCACGTGGTGGCTCATGACTCAGACCACATCCCAACCCCAGGACTATACAGAAGACCTCACATAAGTGTTACATCATAAATGGAACCCTGTGTCCCACCTGTTGCCTAAGATGGACCTACCACACATGGTAGGTAGATAGGTAGGTAGGTAGCCATTCTAAAGCAAGGGCTGTGGACAGGAGATGACAGAGTGATCATTTTCCTCTCTAAGGAACCAAGAAATCTCATGACACCTGGGCTCTTCTCTCCGATTCATGCTATTCATTTTTTGTACCGGCAGAAGTGTGGCTCCTTAATTGCTAAACTTGTACCTCATCTTCTGCCTGTACAGGGTGATTTAAGGATCAGGGAAAGGAAGTTCTCCTAGAAGAAGAGAGAGCACAGAAACTCTGCTTCTGATGAATGAAAAATTGCTGTGCTAAAGCAACATTGCTCTCACCTAATTTTACTTATTTTGTCCTTGAAAGAAACCTGGATGTAGTTCGTTGTCAAGAATTTGCCCAGCCCCAGTTTTCACCCTTACAAAGGAAACAAATTCCTCACAGTCAAAGCTAAAACAAAGGATAATTGCACCCAGAACAACCATCCACAGCTAACTCTGAACTGACCACAGGCTTGGCGCTCACCTCACATGCAGAAAGGAACCATTCGGGGGCCACTCAGAGACTGGCCTCAGCTTAGCTCTGCTGCCACAGAAAGACAGTCCAGAGTGGCCACGGGTATGGTCAACAGCCCTAAAGCGTTACGTGGCTGAGAAGGCCTGCCCAGTGTGGATTTCATTGTCGCTGTGTGGCTTTCCTTTCTCTCTTGCTTTTGGAAAGATGCATGCTTTATTTTGGTTTTAAATGAATGGATTTCCACATAATAGCCAAGAACATTTAGGAAACTAGTGAACAAGTGACTTTGTTTAAGAACAAGAGCCAGGCGGAGCTGCATTCTTCACCTCCAGGGCGGACTGCACACTGCAAGGGCCTTCTTGGGACAAAAGGGAAGCGCGCCGCTGACAAACACGTAGCAGTTGGGCTGAGGTAAAGCCTGAATATCTGAATATTCATTCTCCTCTCACACTGTCTCCTCATCACTGTTTTGGACTCTCTGTTTATCTACACACATATTTGAACCTGGAGCAGACTGTGGTCTTCTACCTCACACTATACCAGCTGTAGCT